CGTTGTTTTAGACATCGATAACCGTGTCAAAATGGAATTGTTCTGTCCATGACATCACATTGACATAAAGATCCATCACATTATCGCGTAGTTAGAATTTAACGATCTAGTGACTAATTGAAGTCAAAACAAAAATTTGATGTTATAATTGGAGCAACTAAAAGTTTGATGGTATAAACGATATGTCATCTAAAGTTCAATAATATTTGACAATGACAGATCCAGAAATATAAGAATGATTCCAGCTAAGAAAGGACATTGGACAGTGAATCACTAGAATAAATGAACAAAAGGGTTACCCATGTATAAGGAATGTAAAAATATTTTTTTAAAAAAAATATATTTTTAATAAAAAATAAATAAACTTAAAATATACGATAAATTTAAATTTTTAAGAGGACGATGACCTACATGTCTCAAGTGACGGATTCACCCTTTGCAGAATACGTGTTCATCTTGAAATTTGAATTTTCTCCAAATAGTTATTTAATTTGTTGATTGTGTCCATCCTGAAATTTCACTTGTGTTCACCTCTTACAAATATTTTGTGTTATTAATGTAGTTTGTCCCACTGGCGTGGCTAGGCTATAACAAGTTGTCATATGACACTCCAAAATTTTTTGAAAAATATATTATATATATAAATTTAATATAAAAATATTTAAAAACAAATAAAATTAACATATACTTTTTAAAAATATTGACACTCTTAAACATAAAATTGATCCCGTTATTATTTTTACCCACTAAAAAAAATTTCTTAACTAACCGTAGTGGTTGGTTCAAGTGGTAAGTAGCTTGATAAGCATGCTCTTGAGTTCGAGTCCTTGTGCATGTAGAAAATCTTTCTTAGGAGAGTTATCCGCTAAAACTAGATGTGCAAATTGGGTTGATCCAGATTAACCAGCAGATTTGCTCCGGTCTTCAGCAAAAGCTCCTTTGCATGTGCCATGCAATCAAGAAATTGTTCTAAGAGCAATGGTTGAGCCAGCCGAATGAAGATCATGCAAGGAAATGGAGTGTGATCTGAGGAGTTTGGTGCACCCCGTCTCTCCCGGCGGCCGGCGGTGCTTATAGGCGGCAAACTTGTCGGCTATGCTAATTAACACGATCTTGAACGTTCAGCTGAACGGTTCGTCGAAGAAATTGCTAAAAATGCAGGAGCTATTTGGCTTTAACCGTGTCCTTGTCACGAAATTTATATTTTTAGTGACAACAAGGGTAAATTACGAGTTAGGATTTAAACTATCAGTTTTAGTCTGTTTTAATACCTAAATTTTTAATTTTTTTAAAACCATACCTAAAGTTTAATTTATGTTTCATTTTAATACTCTGTCGTTAAAAACTTTAGTTTGTATTTCATTTTAGTATCCCGTTCAAAATTTAATGTTAATTTTTGAAAAAATTTAAAAATTTAGGTACTAAAACAAACCAAAATTAATAGTTTACACACTAAATGCTTTAACGGCGGGGTACTAAAATGAAATGAAAATTAAATGTTAGGTATGATTTTGAAAAAAAATAAAAGTTGAGGTACTAAAACGAATCAAAATTAATAGTTTAGGTACTAAATGTATACTTTACCCTATAATAAAATAAGAACATTAACATTGTACGTTGAAAATCTTAAATGAAAACTATGAGTAAAGAAAGACAAAATTATCAATATCGAAATTTGATCAAATTAGGTTTCTTACGATTAATATATATCTAACAGAAGAAATATATATATACTTACACATGGGAGTGGAAAGAGAGGCGTGAGAGGAACAAAATTTTAAAAAAAAATGAAGAGTTAAATGTCAATATTCTAATTAGGGTCAAAGTACGGTCTAATAAACTATATTTAAAGAAGGAACCTGTAGTTTCTAAAGATGAACCAATGGCTAATATTGCAGTACAGACGTTAACCTTTCGAGAGCTTGCCACTGCCACAAAGAACTTTAGGCCAGAATGTCTTTTGGGAGAAGGGGGTTTTGGACATGTTTACAAGGGCTGCTTAGAGAGTACAGGACAGGTCCGATACGGATGCTTAATATAAATGCCAACGACTGTGTGTTTTAAGCATGTTAAAAATACTCGATGTGTACAATTACAGTTTTTATTGCGCATTTGATAATGGGTGTAAAGAATGTAAATTGTGTAGTTTAGTATGTTCTTTAGCAATTGTTTTGTATTTGCAGGTAGTTGCTGTTAAACAGCTCGATAGGAACGGCCTTCAGGGAAATGGAGAATTTCTCGTTGAAGTTCTAATGCTTAGCCTCTTACACCACCCAAACCTCGTCAACTTGATTGGTTACCGTGCCGATGGGACCAGCGGCTCCTTGTCTATGAGTTTATGCCGTTATGGTCATTGGAGGACCATTTACACGGTAAGGATGCCAGTTTTTCAGTTATAGTCATGTTCGGAAGGTTACACTCGATATCGAGGTGTTCTCTTTTCAGCGACTTATTTTGCACTAATTTTATTATCATGATATCCGGTTATACTTGAGAATCACACTTTTTGTGGACCTCGATGATTATTGATTACCTTTTTTTATATTTGTTTTCAGATCTTCGACCGGACAAGGAACCTCAGGACTGGAATACGAGAATGAAGATTGCAGCTGGTGCAGCCAAGGGATTGGAATACTTGCATGATAAAGCTAATCCCCCTGTTATATAAAGGGACTTAAAATCATCCAATATTCTTCTCGAAGAGGGCTATCACCCTAAATTATCGGATTTCAGGCTTGTGAAACTGGGTCCTGTTGGTGACAAAACCCGTGTCCACACGTGTGAGGAGCACTTGTGCTCCGGAATATGCAATGACTGGCCAGCTCACTTTAAAATCCGATGTCTATAGTTTTGGAGTGGTCTTTCTCGAGCTTATCATGGGGCGCCATGCCATTGATACTATGCGAGTTCCTGGAGAACAGAATCTTGTTGCATGGGTAAGCATCTTTTGTCTTCTAGCCTGCCGGGATTCCGAACATAAAGAGATTTGTTCCAAAGTTTTCTCTTTTGCAGAATGACTGTTTTGTTTCGTGTATTACTGTTTTGACTTGAAACAATTTCTTGTTGTGAAAATGGGGGCATATAGGCACGGCCACTTTTCAAAGATCGTAGGAAGTTTCCAAAAATGGCTGATCCGCTACTGCAAGGTCGTTTCCGATGAGACGATTATACCAAGCTCTTGAAGTTGTAGCAATGTGTTTGCAGGAACAAGCTGCTACAAGGCCTCTAATAGGCGATGTTGTGACCGCCCTAACATATCTAGCCTCACAAACGTATGACCCGAATTCGTCCAGTAAGCAAAGCAACCGAGATGGTCCATCAACACCAAGACACAAGGATGATCGAAGGAGTATGGGAGACGGACTGGAAAGCCTGGATGAATGTGGACATGGCTCTCCATCCACTCATAGAAATTCTCCGAGGTACAGGAAGAGGAATCCTGCTAGGGGACCGAGCACTGGTGGAGGATCAGGGAAGAAATGGGGTTTGGATGATTAGGAACAACAGGAATCTCATAGAGACAGCCCTCTGAATGGTGCGAGAGCAAGGGAAGCTTTGCATAATCATGATCTCGATAGAGAACGTGCTGTTGTGGAGGCTAAAGTATGGGGTGAGAATTGGAGGGAGAGAAAACGGGTTTATGCAACGAGTAGCTTCGATAGTACAAGCGACTGATGCTTCCAAAAAAGAGAAAAAGAAACAATCCGTGCCATTATTTCTTTTCAATTGAAGACATGTTGGATCATCTTAAAAAGGGTTGCCAACCGAAAATAGGCCCTTTAAGATACAACAATCCTTTGTTGCAGCCTCCATTTCCACCCTGGATGCATCCAATTTCGAATCTGTATAAATCATTCTTGTAGTTGGGTCCGAAACTGAATGCTTCAATCATATGATTGAAGGAAGAAACAAAGTGAAAGAAGGGACCAAAGAGCGGTTGATCGGTTCCGGGCGCCTTTGCAGGTGAACTGATTCTACATGTTAGTCTATGTATTTAGGCTCTCGTCGTTCTTGTTTTATGAGATTCATGTTAGAGGATATGTATAATTTTTGACCCATGATTGTCTTGTACATTGGGGAAACTTGGTGGTTGTGCGGATGTCTCGTGGGTGTCACACTCAGTACAGTCGTCGGAGTATTGATTTCGGGGTCGGTCCTGGTTTTGGCTTATACATGGAGGTTTTATCGTATTATTTTTCCATGTATGATCACCATAGTGCTCTTATAGACTTGTTTCTCTCGTATTGCTCTTATAGACAATTCTATTTTCTACTATAAATAATTAATACATTAACAATGTGACTGTACTTCATACATTACTACCATATATGATAATCAATGCATTTGTATTAATATGAGTTACGGGTGCAACCAAATTTGACGCAGAAACTTCCTAATTCAAGCATTAAACCGTAGAAATTTATTACCATTTGCTTGTTTGTTGTATTCTTTTACCAAAATTCCATTTATAAACTAGATAAATACGGAGCTGTGAAATAGTACAAGTATATATACAGATTATAGACTTGTTTTATTTTTGTTTTCATATTTGGATTTATTGTTTTATCACGCATGTATCGACTTTCGTATCTGTGTATTCATTTCACTTTTAGATTATATTTTCATTGAATAATTTAGTAATTAGATACTCGTTTGGATTTTATTAATGTCTCGCGTTTTATCTATTTTTGTGCATATATTTTAAAAAAAAACAGTGAGCTGGTTGAATCGACGATCAAACCGGAACCGGTGGTTTGACTGAATCTTAGTTTCAATCCATGATTCGTTACACATAACAAGTTAAGCCTACGCTAATAAGTATATGAGCCAACATGTAAATATTTCTCTCTACATTATTTTATTAAAAAAACGCATTTTCCTCCTCCAATGATAATATATATATATTATCACAATAGTTGTGAAACCCTAGTGGCAGCAAATAATAGTTGTCAGACATACAGATTGCTCTAAACTGTTACCAAGTAAACCTACTGAGAAAGTGAGACCCAAGTTACCTAAGCATATTATTAATATTACTATACAATCATTATCTACACAGACTAATTTTCATAACCTAATGCTTCACATCAACGCTTTATTCGTAGTTCTAAGTTCTATTCTGTTCTATTCAACGGTTCTCAAAACCGAGCTGAGAGCCAGAGTCTAGCATGCATGCAAGCGACAGCCCTCGTATCTCTGGTTTTAGAACACCCTAAACCAAAACTACCCGAGGGCCGAGGATTTAAGCCTAAGAAGTTGTAACGTCGATGGATATCACTTTCTCTTCTTTCCCTGCAAAAATGAGACCGATATCACTTAAAGATAATAGGTAAAAGTTGAAAGAAACTAAATTCCCAAAATCTCAATTTGAGACAAACCGAGCTTACATTATCATCCAGGGATAGCTGCTTCCATTTCTTTAGTTGATTAAGAGTCTCAGCCGGTTGCTTCCCGCTGCGCTTTGATGGTGTGATGTTCTAAATTTTAAAAAGAAGAGAATCATGTTAAGGTCTAACCGGAATTATTATCACGGTAACCATACAATGTCCAGAAGCGTCCAAAGAAATAATGCAGAGAATAAAATGTTGGGGCTCAAGCATGCAAGGGCCATTGGCATTTCAATAATAGATATGGGAAATATATTCCGAACCTTGGCAAGTTTCTTCTCCTTGCGAGCTTGTCGCTCCCTCTCATCATATTCTTGGTTTTCCTTCTCAACCAATCGAATAAGGGTATCACATCTCCTCGCCAGCTCTTGAGTTGTCCGTGACTTCACAAACCAATCAAATCGGAACAAGGGTGATGTTCGGAATGCTGCCTTCAACTCCTCCCAATTACCATAACCAAGCTTGTGAACCATGCATATCTGTTTAGGCACAAAAATCAGAAAAAGAACAAGATTTATGGTGTATCCATATTTTCATGTACGATGAATGGTAAAAAAAAATTAAACACACACCATGAATCGATCACATTCTTCATTATATAGCTTCCCTTTGTTCTGACCATACTGGATCTTCAATTCCAGCCATGGATTCTTGTACCGGTCCAATTTCTTGCCTATTGCTTTCATGATTTCATCTCTTCCAGCGATCCTTGCCTCTCCTCGCTCAATATTCTTAATTATCCTATCATAATCTGTATAACAAAAAATCGGCAATTAGATGTACATTAAAAAACCTTGTAAACAACAGGCTATTAGAACTAGTTGAACCAATCAACACTATTCTATGGCCTATAGTAGCACTCGTCTTCACATGCATGCATATACTCTTCACTCATATTAAATCAAGCTCCCGGAAGAAAATACTTAAATCGTCAAACTTTAATACTCGAGATCATACATAAAGAAACAAGGCAAAAATAACAAGATATTAGCTATCATTTACCGTTTAACTCCTTGTATCTTTCTTTAAATACTTTAGCATATCTTTCAACTTCTTTTTTTTTTTGGATAATTCAGATTTTATTACCCAATGTCAAGAATAGATACAACCAATCAACCAATCAATCGTTACAAAATCAAATAAAAACAGCCTATACAAATGAGATTGGTTAGACTATACCCCAAGCATTACAAAGCTTTAGATTAGTACTATCTAGTCTATTAATATTAGTTCCCCTAAGTCGAATTCCGACGTCTTTGACTTCTTTGAGCAAACATTCAACCGTTCTATGACGTCCTAGGAACACTCTGATTTCTTTCCTGCCAAAGAAAGTAGATGCAAGCAGTCCAAGAAATTTTCAAAATGGTGGTAAGGAGAGACTTCCCTTTCCATGAAGAAGATGCCCTTGAAACCATTTCGTCCCATGACATGATCGATGGCTTCATCCCATTAAGGTTCAAAACAGATTTCCAGAGTGCTGCTGCCAGTGAACATTGCAAGAAGAGGTGGTCCCTTGTCTCTTGATTAATGTTGCAGTTGACACAGAGAACTTCTGTGCAAATTCCCATTTTAATGAGCCGGTCTCTAGTAGGCAGCCTGTTGAGTATAGTCATCCAAGCAATCAAATTAAACTTTGGAATATGCAATGGGAACCAAATTAATTTATGCCAAGTGACCTTCTGCCCTTTGATTCGGATCAAGTCCCATATTTCCTTCAATTGCAAGGGATCGGCTGAAATAATTGGAAATGCTTCAGATCGCAATTTCAAAATTCGTCTAATAGTCCAGCTAACGTTTGGAATTGCCAGAAGTCTTGATCCTTAAATACATAGGCATGAATCCAAGCAACCCACAGAGAACCGTTGCCCGCAAGTATTTTCCGAATGAGACTCATCAGGCATGCTCTGTTCCAAGTTTTAATATTCTTCAGACCTAATCCTCCTTCTGATTTAGAGAGGCATACGTTGTCCCAGCTGATTCTAGCACCCGCAGCAGAATTATCTGCTCCTTTCCAGAAAAACCTGGAGCAGATTTGATCGACCTTCTTAAGAACTGAAGCTGGCAGAACCAGCTGTCTGCACCAATAGTTGCTGACATTGAATAAAACTGTTCTTATGAGTTCTAAACGTCCTGCATAACTGATATTTCTCCCGGACCAGAGGTGGAGCTTGCGCTTGATATTGTCAATCCTCCTCTGTTTTCCCTTCCATTTCTGAAGCAATACTGTTTATATCATTTCGCCCGTATCTCTCATGCTCTAATGAAAGCATTGAAATCTCTTCTACTCCATGAAGAAAATCCCTGGAGCACCCAAAAACTAAGTTTGAGTAAAGTAACCGATAAATAAAAACATAACATGCACCATTTTGAGCATCCAATATGTCCCGAATCTTCTGCTTCTTTAGTTTCTGCATTTCTTTTAGCCTCTCTTTTTCTCGCTTACTAATTTCCGGTTCAGCCCCATTAGACTCATCCTAAACGGGGGGGGGGGGGGAATGCCACAAAAAGTCATAAAATCTTAGAAATAAACAACAATAAAGTTAAAATTAAGCTTTCCAGGAACTTTAAAAAAAACCTAGAAGCAAAAACTATACTAAAGCGTGAAAACTAAAAGCTTAGAAATAAAATTCACAATCATTAGCAAACCCTAACAAGTAAATAACAACTAAAAAGCCAACACCGACAGCCAAAATCGTAAATTTTCGAAGGCAAGCTAAAAGGCTAAGCTAAAGAGTGTTAAAGCTAAAAATCACCTCTTCAGCATCACCGGCGGCTTCATCAGGGACATCATCATTGTCTTAGTCGGAGGCGTTGGCGGAGCGAGCATCAGCTTCGATCTCCTCTTCATCGTCTTCTTCAACGTTGACCTGGTCGTTGGCTTGCTCCTCTTCTGACGAACTAGAACCGTTGTATAGTTCTTCGTCGGAGGACGCCTGCTTCGATTTCGCCATCTCTTTATCCGAACGTCGGTTTTAGAAGATAATTGATAAATAACAAATAAAAGATAAATAAATAAATAAATATTTTTAAAAACAATCAAATAAATTGATACCAGAAGACCGACTTTTGGTTAAGAAGGGTGAAATGAATTTGATGAAATCTTAGCCGTTTGATTTGGGGAAGTTGAAATTAACTGAATTAAATTGGAATGAGGGGTGTAATAATGATTTTAACCCCTCTACTATGCTGAAATTTGAGATTTTTAATCTTTGTCCTTCAATTTAATATATTTCTCTTTTGAAATTTATAATATTATTAGCTCGTCTAAGTTTATAATAACATTCATTGTTATTAGATAAGATAACTTTTTCAAATAATTTTATGCATCCATCTAACATATAAATTTATTATTAATTTAAATATTATTATTTAATTTTTACATGAACTTGACGATGCAACTAAATAACAATAAAAGAAATTCACATCATCGCTTCGTGGATAGATATTAGAGGTGTTTTTAATTTATATTATTAAAAATGGAGGATCAACTTATATCAATTTAAAGTTAAAGGATTAAATTTCAATTTTAAAATATTAGAAGGACTAAAACAACATTTAAACCTGAATTGAGTGCGAAGTCATGAATTTCCCTTCACACGTTGCATGAGGGGAGAACATTCCATGCACGCAAAAGGAGAAGATATCCGTCGTCATCAAGGCATCAAAAAGGGAATGCTGAAACAATGGTAAGGTTCAAGTTGTAAAAATAGCAAAATTCAAGTGGGAAGGGGGTCCACTAGTGCATTTTTTCTCCCACTGTTATCGCTCATCTCCTTGATAAATAACCAAGGTTCTTCCCCTTTGAAGACTTACTATCACTCTAACAACAAGAACAAGAGAGAGAGAGAAGAGAAAACAGTAATTTTGTGGTAGTTTAGCTAATGGGTTCACATAGTGGCATGTCTTCATTATTGAAGTTTGATGTTTCCATCTCTGGAACTATCAAACTTGATGGGAAAACAACAGTTTCTGTTGTTCTTCTGGGTTCCATTCTCATCTTTGCAGTAGCAAAAAGATGTATCAGAGGCCGTAACAGTGGCACTAGAACGAACGTCCACGCCGAGGTTCAGCTTGAAGGGCATGCCGATGATGGTGAGATCAACCTTGAAGCTGGTGCTGAGCTTGGTGGACCTTCCCCAGAATGATTTCTTCAAGGTCAATTTCTTTTTTCTTCCAAGTTGTTTAACACCAGGCTAAATTTTCTTCTTCTCCGCCTTCACCTTCCCAGAGCCTTCAGACCAAAGTCCTTCCAGTTCAAGTTGTTTAACACCTTTAACCTAGGAGTTTTTCATTTTTAACAGTCACCAGCAACAGCGGCCAACATATCAGCACAGCAAACTACACTAGGGCAAACTTTCTTCTTCTTCACATACTCCTCCTTCGCCACTTCTTCTCCGCCTTCACCTTCCCAGAGCCTTCAGGCCAAAGTCCTTCCAGTTCAAGTTGTTTAACACCTTTAACCTAGGAGTTTTACATTTTTAACAGTCACCAGCAACAGCGGCCAACATATCAGCACAGCAAACTACACTAGGGCAAACTTTCTTCTTCTTCACATACTCCTCCTTCGCCACTTCTTCTCCGCCTTCACCTTCCCAGAGCCTTCAGGCCAAAGTCCTTCCAGTTCAAGTTGTTTAACAACTTTAACCTAGGAGTTTTACATTTTTAACAGTCACCAGCAACAGCGGCCAACATATCAGCACAGCAAACTACACTAGGGCAAACTTTCTTCTTCTTCACATACTCTTCCTTCGCCACTTCTTCTCCGCCTTCACCTTCCCAGAGCCTTCAGGCCAAAGTCCTTCCAGTTCAAGTTGTTTAACACCTTTAACCTAGGAGTTTTTCATTTTTAACAGTCACCAGCAACAGCGGCCAACATATCAGCACAGCAAACTACACTAGGGCAAACTTTCTTCTTCTTCACATACTCCTCCTTCGCCACTTCTTCTCCGCCTTCACCTTCCCAGAGCCTTCAGGCCAAAGTCCTTCCAGTTCAAGTTGTTTAACACCTTTAACCTAGGAGTTTTACATTTTTAACAGTCACCAGCAACAGCGGCCAACATATCAGCACAGCAAACTACACTAGGGCAAACTTTCTTCTTCTTCACATACTCCTCCTTCGCCACTTCTTCTCCGCCTTCACCTTCCCAGAGCCTTCAGGCCAAAGTCCTTCCAGTTCAAGTTGTTTAACAACTTTAACCTAGGAGTTTTACATTTTTAACAGTCACCAGCAACAGCGGCCAACATATCAGCACAGCAAACTACACTAGGGCAAACTTTCTTCTTCTTCACATACTCCTCCTTCGCCACTTCTTCTCCGCCTTCACCTTCCCAGAGCCTTCAGGCCAAAGTCCTTCCAGTTCAAGTTGTTTAACACCTTTAACCTAGGAGTTTTACATTTTTAACAGTCACCAGCAACAGCGGCCAACATATCAGCACAGCAAACTACACTAGGGCAAACTTTCTTCTTCTTCACATACTCCTCCTTCGCCACTTCTTCTCCGCCTTCACCTTCCCAGAGCCTTCAGGCCAAAGTCCTTCCAGTTCAAGTTGTTTAACACCTTTAACCTAGGAGTTTTACATTTTTAACAGTCACCAGAAGCAGTGGTCAACATATCAGCACAGGAAACTACACTAGGGCAAACTTTCTTCTTCTTCACATACTCCTTCGCCACTTCTCCTCCTCCTCCTCCTCCTGCTCCTTCAACAGAGTTTTACTTTTGAGATTAATACAGTATAATTTGTCAAAAATGGAACTAATCTTTGTTTTATTCCTCAATTTCAGGTTATCATATGTTAGACTAGAACTCTGTCGGACTATGTGAACTGATGGAGGGGTTGCTATATTATATGAATAAAAAGGTCTGATGTTTGCTTTTGCTGTTATGAATATTGTTATTGTGTGATGGAGAACTTATTTTTTGGATTAAGTGTTATTTTGAGGCATATATGACTCATAATCATTCCATGGATCTTTATCTTGTAGCATGTTATTTTGATTTTAATTTGGGTGTCTTTTACTTTTATTTCATAAGTTTATAATATTTCAATAATTTTGCATGAACAAGAAAAGGAGTTTGATTCTTTGGTTATGGGCAACTGGGTACAAGAGCAATTTTCCTGCTTGGCTTAAGTTTAACAACCGAAGCCTTTACCCAACATATTAATTCAAATAAATAAAATTTTAAAATTTGATAATAGACTTTTCAATTTTAAGGTTACAAGTATAAATAGTATTTTTAAATATAGGATTAAAAAATATCTAACGTTCCATTTTGATCACCTGTTGGTAAAGAATAAACGAAATTGTTGATGTGATAGTTTTTAATAATGATGTTACATTACCTTACGATGACATATCAATATTAACATTAATTTTTGAATGATGGTTGACCAAAAAGGGAACTAAAACGTATAATTAGATATGGTTTTTAAAACAAATTAATAATTGAGTGATCAAAACAAAAATAAAGTAATAATTTAGTGACTAGATATATATTTTACCCTAACAATGATCAATAATATATAATAGCAAAGCAAGCATCATAATTTTCATGTAATCGTCTCTCGTCAAATACATGCATGTTTAGCTCACCAGTAAAGGTTGACTCACGTGATAAATTTTTATTATTATAATTGTATCATTCAACTGTGAAGGTTGTGGTTTTATTCTCAATGCGTAGATTCAAGAATTACGTAAAAAGATTATTGAACAAAAAACTACTAATGATAGAATCGAAAAAAAGTAAATTGTATCGTAAATATTTTTTCTTATAAAAAGGTTCTTTTAAGTAGGTGCGGTTAAGGAGTTGGTGTAACTTTCTTTCTTACAAAGGGGTTAATTTTTTTAAAATATTTTTATATAAAATTATAATAAAAGTTAATTTTTTTTTAAAAAAAAAACAGGTATCTTTTGATTCCCCTATAAGTGGCATGCGGCTCATTACTTGTAGAGCAATGAGTCGGGTAAACTCACGAAATAATGCACTCAAAATAAATAATTCACGAAATAACGTTCTCCTAATATTATTTGCTGAAATAGGGCGAAATCAACAGTGGCCGTAGGTCGCCATGCACTCCCAGCGACCTCCTAGGTCGCCATGCACGCCCGGCGACCAAGGAGGTCGCCATGCACTCGCGGCGACATCCCCTGTTGCATGCTCGCCTGCTCGCGACCTTGCCGGGACTCCATGGCGACCTACACATGCACGATCTCCCCATTCTTCCCATGCATGAACCGATCCTTGGTCGCCCCGAGTGCCCCATGCATGAACCGTTCCTTGGTCATCCTTGGTTGCCTCGAGTGCCCCATGCATGAACCGAGCCCCGAGTGCATGGCACGATCTCCCCATGCATGAATCCTTGGTCGCCCCGAGTGCATGGCGACCTCCTTGGTCGCCGGGCGTGCATGGCGACCTAGGAGGTCACTGGGAGTGCATGGCGACCTATGGTTGGGTTGTGCATGTTCCATGCACAGAAGCAAGCCACGTCGTAGGTCGCCCGGAAGGCATGGCGACCTACGGCCACACTGTTGATTTCGCCCTATTTCAGCAAATAATGTTGGGAGAACGTTATTTCGTGAATTATTTATTTTGAGTGCATTATATCGTGAGTTTAGCCGCAATGAGTCACACATACTTTTAAGTATATTTTTTTTAGAAAGTATTTATATGTTAGTTCAATTTAACGATAGTTGACTATTATTCTTTTAACGATAGTTGACCAAAATAAAATCAAAACATAATGTTATGTATGATTTTTTTTAAAACTAAAGTAATAATTATATGATTAAAACATGAATGTAGGTGATCAAATGGATTTTGTGTATTCAAAATACTAATGAGATATATGTCATATGCCTAAAATAATGATGTGATACACATTATATCACATCAATAGTAGGTCTGTAAACGAATCGAACATTTAACAAACGTTTCAATCCGAAGTTCGTTTATTTATTAAACGTACAAACATGAATAAAATTTT